GGCGGCGTCTCCGATGAGCCGCTCGCCGTCACTCGTGAACGCTACATAAGAGGGAGTGATACGGTTACCCTGGTCGTTGGCAATGATTTCCACGCGGCCATTTTTGTATACACCCACACTAGGCAAAAAGAAAAAAATCTTATTATTAAATGATACTGAACAATCATCTTTGGACAAGTGCCAAATTCTTATTCCATTCATACAATTTGTTGTTTGTTGTATGTTTGAGAAAATACTATAAAAATAATAATTATCTATGTTTATGCAAAATAAGTATTAAGATCTGACCATTTTAACTGGACTACAAAGTAAACATATTGTTTAACACAATTCTTATAAGATTCAATTAACACTAAATAAAATCGATTATAATAACTTACCATGAGTATGTAGTTCCCAAGTCGATACCGATGACGGTGCCAATGTCTTTATCTTTTTCTTTTTTGTCTTCGGCGCAGACCAGCGCCACTGCGCACACTAGTCCCAGTATATACCACCGCATTTTCACCATACAACACACGACTTATCTAGAACAATCAGAATTATAACATCAGTCACACGAGAGTTCAATCTACACGTCAAGGACACGTAACCTAAGCGAGGACACGTCATACTTTTGTAGTCTTCTACTACTCCGGCGAGAAAGCGGTCAATGGTAAAATTTCCATTGAACTTGATTCAAATGAGATCGAAAGTCTATAAAGCTTGGCTCAAACGGTCATAGTAAGCTAACGGTATATTGAACCTGAGGTATATGTAGGCCGCTAACCTCGCCGGCCCACAGGCATCCAGAAATTTCGTTAACGTTATTTTGCATAAATCTTTATCTTTTTATAAAATGTCAGCCCTTATTTCATTAATCTACATGATATTCTTCACAGAAATAAGTTGATTCTTCAAATTAATTATTCTAAGTCTATGAAAATCAAAATTCTAGAGAAAATCCAAGTGGGAAAAATCTAGTTAATTTAAAGATTTTAATGAAAAAATATAGAGAAAACTTACCAAAATAGATCAGATATCGATTAAAAATTGAGATTTATTGAAATATCCGCACAGCCACGTTAATACACAAAATTAAAAATGGCAAATTGATTAACCAGCGCAATACTTCACTTGTGATGTCTTGAGAGAAACTGAAGTTTGACACGCCGCCGTCACAGATATTTAGCGCTAGTAGTCAGCGTGGGCTAATTCTATTCGCCGAGAGACTGATGACGTTTTCAACGAACGCTTCTTATTGGTCCAAGTGTACGTATTTGTTGCAATCCGATTGGCCCACGTTAATAACTGGCAGGTCGGTTTCCCTTAGGGGCACGTAATAGGTCAACAATTTTATGGCGTAAATTTTAAAAAAGTTTCGAAGTTAGCAAACTCTATATTTACGTGATTTCTTTTAGATTAAATTATTATAATATATTTCGTATTATGAAGAACATGAAGTAATATTCTAGATGTAATATCGAACGAATTTTATTTTCTTTCTCAGCAATGCATTATTGTAATGCTGCATTATTTGACTACAGTTGTCAACACAAACAAATCTTCTAAATTCACATATTTTTAATTCGAAAACAGCAAAAAAACTGTTGGTAATGTTTGATTTAAGTTTAAGATTCCTTTACATGCCAAATAAACTTTCTACTTGTGATGTTTTTCTAGAATTTCCATAAAATGGTTATCAGAATAATGGTCAACTTTGTATACCGTTTGTGTAAACATAAATATATTTCTTTCTTTGAATGTGATTGACTTCGATAAACTTTTAAATACGAATTATTTGTAAAGTATTGCATCATACTGTGAGTATACTTGTAGTGCATCTGATCACCTATCAATAAAAAAGGAGATAAAGAAAGTCATTTTTTCTTACAAAAATTTTATTAAAACTATTTAAGATTTTAACAACAACAGTCTCTGTACTTCCCAAAAATAATTGAGCGAAAATAAAAATAGAACAGTCACCAAAATAATTCCAAAATTAAATGTCTAATATAAAAACAAAAATAAAAAAATGTCGTAAAAAATCAAATCAATGCTTTCTTGATATTATGCTTAAAATTAACGGCGTGAAATATGTTATTATGCAATCGGCACCTGAAACAAAAAAAAATATATACATTTTTTTCTTTATACTTAGAGCGCGCGGCACACCTTGACTAAACTATCGCAAAACTGTTTAGTCGCGGTTTGATTTTGATGTGGTTATATGGCGCGAACACTACGTGATGTTTAGTTGTGCAACTAAACAGTTGACTGCGAAACAAACGACAATCGCACAACTGTTTTGCGATAGTTTAGTCAAGGTATGCGTCCGCTCGTACTTTAAATATAGCGGTAAAATTGTTTATGGTCCTGGGTTTTATTCATTCCAGTTGATGTTAATTACTATTTCAGGGATAATTTTACAAATCTATACTATTATAATAAAGCGTAAACACACACTTCTTTGTTGCCGAAGATAGCAGCAATTACAGCATATTTTTGAATAACTCTTTTTTTAATAAAAAGCCCTACACCAAGGTTATATATTTACACGCCATTAAAGTTAGGGGAAAATGTTTTGGATATAAA